GTGATTTTACCGATGACAAAGTCATATTAACAACCAGTCCAGATCCTGTTTTAGCCTCCTCATACGTACAAGATCATCTCAACTCCCTTGAATTGTTTTACAAAACATAGGGAATAAAAATGAATGAAACCAAATCCATAAACGGTACCTTTGCACTTCAGTCGGAGTATCCCAACATCTCAATAATCAACCACTTCCTCCTGTGTAGTGTATACGTTACCTTGGTATCCTTATTGACCACCGTCTCACCTGGATACCTCACATAATTAGCAAAACCCGTACGCTTAATGACCGCTTCCGACTCCTTCGACTACTTCTAACATCAAAGCACATGGAACTCTCCAATAAGCTCCTGCTTTACAAACTCCTACTCAGACTAATCTGGACTTATGGAATTCAACTATGGGGCGCTGCCAAAATGTCCAACATCAACCGCATTCAAAGATTAAAATCCAAAACTCTATTTACAATTCTAACAGCACCATTCTATGTCTCTAACCACACAATCCACTCTGATCTCAAAATACCATTTGTCTCTGAACTATCCAAAACTCACTTTAAAAGTTTCAATAGCCGCCTAGCCCACCATAAAATCCCTTTATCTCCGATCGATCATCTACTTATATCCCAGGTAACCTAATTAAAAGATTTAAACGACAGTGGTGTCACCACCTCCTAGCTTAATTTAAAGTCCTACTCATGTCGTAGTACCTCCGCTGGGAGGCCTCTACATTACATCCAATATGCCTTTTTATTTTTCTTATTTTAACATTTTAACCCATCAATTGTTCTTATTGTTCTTCTTTGTAAAAGATTGAATAAAAAAACCTATAAATCAAAAAAAAAAAAAAATTGTTCATATTATTAGATATTTATAATTTGTTGTAATCAAATTAAACTCAAATAAATCAAAACAATTTTGCACAATTCTATAAGTGATGGACGTCTCAGAAGCAATTACATACTGAACATTGAAAGGAGGAGAACTTCCGAGATAGATGTAGAGAAGATCATTGACAACTTTTCAAACAATTTTGTTAGATAATTTACAAATGTTTGAAATTATACTATAATACTATTTTTATAAAAATTATACAATTAAATATTTTTGTTTTTCATTTAGATAGCTTAATATAATAATTTATTTACATTTTGTATATTTAGGCCCCAAATTAAGTTTTGCTCATCAGTTACATAATGTGTAATTTCGGCACTGGAGACTAATATCAATGAAAGCCTACGTGGCGCTACATTTCAAAATACATTTCTACTCCAAAAGAATTGACATATGATTGCCAATGGGCAATAGCTAGGGAATATTGTAGTTTTTTTATTTAATTATATTTGAATGAGTAATAATTCAATAAATAAAAATCGAATTATGTTATAACACAGTTTCTACGATACATAGATTTAGGTAAGCAGTGACTTAAATTGTAATTAATAGATGATGAGTATGCGTTTATATACATTTTTTAGAAGATTTTGAATTTAATTTTTCATGCAAATGGATTTATTAAAATAACTAAATACTAATTTTATAATTAAGATTGTAAATATTTTGTTATTATGGAAATAATGAATTCAAATTTGTTTAGTTTTTTTCTATAACTGTTGATAAAAAAATATCTGCTAGAATTGCTAGGTTGAAAGTTAGAAAATGTAAAATACCTATGATTTCTCATAAGTAATAATTATGATAACTTTTAAATATTGAATATAGGTACATGGATAGAATTTTTAGTATAAGCACATTACAAAACTGATCAAAATCTCGATAATTTTTAAATTATTTTGTAGTTATAAATTAATATATTCCAGATTTTAATTGAAACGACTCGAGAATTTAATATACAGTTAATGATATCAGTTAATGAATATCTTTATTCATAAGCTGTTCTAACATATAACTAAATATCTCAAAATATAGATGGGTACAATCATAAAATTGTCGTTTCAAGTTCAAATTTCGACGATTAATAAAGACTTAAGTTGTTTTGTTGCAATTCAAATATGATTTATATTCGTATATAATATTATTTTAATTTTAAGGCGAGTTATGAGTTTTTTTAAAATTGTAAACAATTGCTTGTACATCTTAAAATAAACATATTTTTATAGTATTGTCTGTGTTAAATCCATAGCTGATTAGACTTTTATTATCGAGGTATATACTTTCATGCTATTATATAATGATATAATTATATTAATTATTATAATAGGTTCAAATTGCTTTTGTGATTTGGGGGGAGGGTAGCCCCTAAAGCCCCCCTCAATGTTTTTAAATTATTCTTATATCTATAGTTGATTAATCATGAGTAGGAATATAATTTGAAGCCGCCAGACTACGTGATGTATGATCGGAGACTGACACTTATTTACCGAAAATTTCACATGTGTACAAGTGCAGGCTGCAGTAGCACGTAGTACTCTGTAACAGTGTGTACACGTATTGCAGGGGTCACCAAATGGCGGCACGCGAATTAATTTTAACCGGCCTGCAGACTGAGGAAAAAGCCAATAATTTAATACGTAATTATTATCAAAGGTGACTGTTTTAATAATAAATTTTGCCTGAGAGACCGTCAGGACTGATTTTATATTCCGTAGCTTTCTAAGACGTATTAAGACATCGTCTAGGCTCACAAGACAAGTAGATGGGATCTCATGAGGTAGTCCATTCTCTACGAGATCATCTAAATTGATTGCTGTTGAAGAGTACACGGAACTAAAGTGAGAGGAGAACATCTCGCACATACTGGCGCTATCGTTACTAAAAGCATTACCAAGCTTAACTGTTGCGGGTATTGTGTTTCCACTTTTGGTTTTACGAACAAAATCCCAAAATGCCTTTGGGTTTTTTAGGAATGAGGACTCAGTGTTTTCGATATACTTAGAGTGACATTTCCTAGATAAAAACTTGCATTGAGCACGTAAAGTTGGGAAACGAGAGTAATCAATTGGACTTTGCGTTGATCTGTAAAGAGCATGAGCCTTTCTTTTTAATTGCACAGTATTCTTTAAGTGGTTAGAAAACCATATCGGAAATTTAGATTTTTTGTAGTTAACTTGTGGAACAAAGTTTAGGACACAATAATGAAGGGCATTGTATAGTGTAGATGCCGCATCATTAGCAGATAGGGGTGAAAGTGTATCAGTCCAATTAAATGACTTCAGGAACTCATTAATTCGAACACACAATTTGAAGTATAATACCACAATTGTAGAATGTAAAGTCATACAAAGGCTATTTATAAAACTTTCTGTAGGTATTTTAAAACTTGACATATCTATTTCCCATGATTCAAGACACTATATTCCATTTTTTATAACCTATAGTGATAAAAACAGATAAAAAAAAAATATTTGATGCTAAAATTGTCAGTTTTATAAAGGCTCACTTTAATATCTGGAATATGAAATTGTCAACTTCTTAATTTCTGAAACTCAGATTGGAAAATGTAAGACAAGATTCCTCATAACTTTGTATAATTTTATCATAAAAAAAATGTCCACAAGTAATTCAAATTACATTTTTATTGTAGTTCATTATTTTACAGTATTGGATATTCACTCGATTTCCCATGTAGCGATTTTGTTATTTTGTTGTTACTTACTCAAAAACGAATAACTGTAGATACATGGAAATTGTGCTGAATATTTATGTTTTCATTTTATATACATCATACAATTTTGAAAATATTTTGACACTTTTTGAGCTATTAACGGACATCCTAGGTTTTCGTAGTAAATTTATCACTACTCCGCGTCGGTAAGGCATAGTTATCTTTAACTTTAAGAGTTTCTGTACAACGATAACAATAATTATCGATTACATTAACGCCACGATGGTACTTAATTAATGAGTGTTGCCTGTATGTATTGTAACATACATTACTGCACCTATATGATTTCGATATCTGGAATAATATAGTAAGGCTTTTTGCCGCATGATAGTCTTATCAGAGGGTAATTTAACGACCACCTAATCTGGAGATGTAATATAGAGTTTCAAATCAGTTGAAATTACACTTTACACCATTTAACGGATCGGTTATATTTTTACTCGTATTATTATTTTCAATTTCCTTAAAACTTATATTTTTCTTAATATTTAAAATAGTTGAAAAGTGATAAAGTGAAAAAAATTCAAATAATGTATGTTTAAGTCAAATAAAATACAACGAAGTATTAGAAGAAGTCAAATGAGTGATTAAAAGTAGAGCAAAATGAAAATCAAATGATTATAAATTATTAAAGCGCTTTTTTCTACCTTTTTCCTATGATACAAAATAATATAATTTTTTTGTTTATATCACATAACCCTATCACATTAACCAATCACAAAAATGGTTTTAATAGCCGGAGGGATAGTTTTACAATAAAACAATATAATAATAATTAATGTTGAAAAAGCTAAAAAAACAAACACTTTTTTATAGATTTTTCGATGTTGTGTGCCCGTACACAAATTATAAAGCTCAAATGTACAGGTACCTAAACTAAATTGAGCTTAAGAAAAAAAATTGATATTTGAGTTTTGGCACTAAGCTGACGATAATTTATAACCAATGTAAATTATCGATGAAACAAAAACGGTTTTACATATAATTGTAATTGCCCACTGTGTCATTCTACCCGAGAAAAGTGTATAATTGTTCACAATTTCACATTGTTCGTTGAAATTGGGCATTGTATACATAATCCGAGCATTGTACTACAACACCGGAGTAAACACTTAGTCCTTTGACCGTATATAACATAAAAAATATATAACTGTCATCGTATATATACCATAATGAGTCACTCAGATAATTGGCGTACGGCGTCATAATCGACGTAAAAAGTAACGAATATAATTTTATAACGTACCTACCTAATCAAAGATTTATAATGTAATATTTTAAATATTTTAATGCGCAAACGTCTATTTTATTGTATTTCTTATTTAAAAGACATTCGGTAATGACAAACGATACAAAAATAATAAAAAATAAAGTTTATTTTTCATTATATTTTTCAGCACTTCCTTGCATTTTCATATCATTATCGCTAAAACCAATAACAGTATTTTCGTTGGAATTCATTTCTGCGATATTATCACTTGGATTTGTTTCTAATTCCTTTAGCCTGTTCGTCATACTTATATTCTCTTGTTGAAGTTTTTCAATCTCTTGCATTACTGTATCATACTCTTCTTCTAACTTAGTTAATTCCATCGTTTCTGGGACAACTTCGGCCATGTTCGTGCGCATAAATCTATTTTTGAAAAAAGGTGGCTATGTTTAATGTCATTATATACCACGTATTTTGAGTTTTAAAATGTACTTTTTAAGTTGGTTTATAAATAATTCTTAACTATGGATGATAAAATGTTGATATTTTACCGTAGGTAACTTTTGTTGTCACAGGTTTTTATGTAATGAAAAAAATAATAATAATTACAGTATGTATATTTAGAAGGAATAAAATATAATAGTATATAAAACTATATTAATCCAGCGTGACGGTAGTGGCGCGAAGCTAAGTAAAAAAAAATAGGGGAGTAGCCACTAACGTATAATAACAGGACACCGAGTTTTAACATTGAAAAATCGTCCTAATTTATGTCAATTCTTTGTCAAGCTCTACAGGGCAAACGGCTGAACATATAAAGTCGTATGAGGTATCAATCGATCATAAATATTATGCAGATGGGAACATAGGAATTCGCTAGCAGATTGGTTAGATAGTTTATAAGTTATAAGCAAAAATGTTCAAGTACTTTTAAGACCGATTTTGCGTACGGAACAGTGGGGATGGATAAGCGGTGGGTCGGGGAACGAAAATATCGTAAATATCCCCCGACCCTCCTTCCCACTACACTTATCGCGGCGGCGGCGACGTACGACGATTTGCGATTGCGACGGCGCGGTCTCTAGGATACCGGTCGCCGGCAACCATTCACTGTTTACATTTACATTATACTGTTTCAGCAGACGAGTGACGACCAGCAAGATAGTATATAGATTATAGGTACTTGCTGACGATTCAACGACTGTGATTGTTTAGTGAATTCGTGATCCAGCAAGACGGTATTATATTATTATTATGCTGAATACTCGGAACAATAATAAAATAAAATAAGCAATCTAGTGATTAATTCATTACCCGTGGGCCATGGCAACAATTAAGGTTGGTGGCAAATCATATGCTCTTAATTCTGTGATTTGCCATCATGGTCCATCTATGACTCAAGTCTGAAGCCCATTATACATAAGTTATTAAACATAATAATAAAATATGGGTTAGATATAACGATATGATATTTATGTTATAGTTTAAGAAAAAAAACTAAAATAGAAAAAGAGATATTATAACAACAGGAGGCCAACGATGCATATTCTATTATTAATTATTATTATTATTATATTATACAGTCAAATAAAATCGCGACTTATTTCATAAAAAAAATAGCTGATATCACACCAAAAACACTTCGTTATAACTCCTTGTAAAAGAAAGCTAAGTTAAAAAAAAAAATTTGTTATGATTAAATCTTTAAAAGACATGATATAATATGGAAATTAAGTAAAATGACATTTTATAATATTACAAATACCTATGATGACAAATAAGATCAATTATTGTAATGTTCAATACTTAGTCAACATATTATGTTTAACTATTTCGCAGGACTTAGAAGTATACTTAAATAAATATAACTAAGTAATCACTACAGTATTTACAGTAATTAACAATGTATCAACAATATGTTGACTGAGTATTTAACATTTCAATTGATCTTATTTGTCATCATAGGTATTTGTAATAATATTTGTATTTTACTTAATTTCCATATTATATCACGTCTTTTAAAGATTTAAACATAACAACATTTTTTTTTTTTTAACTTAGCCTTTTTTTTACAATGAGTTATAACGAAGTGTTTTTGGTGTGATAGATATAACTCTAGTCTCTAATTTTTCGATTGTATATCATTATCTAGGTACTATTTGTAAATTGTTGTACATTATACCATTGAACAAGATACCGTTAAAATAAATCGAAGCAGTTTTACTGCCCTAAACTGTGATGACAGACACAAAAATAAAAAAACACACTCCATTGTAAAATCAATACATTCATAGTTCCACTCAGAATCTAAAAACGTTATAACTTGAAAAATCGTATCATAATGTATTATTGCCTAAGAATATTAAATAATATAATAGGTTCCCTATAATTTAGATTGCTATCATAAATCATAAAATCCTACTAACTTATTTTCAACACATAAGGTAGAAATTATAATATGATATTATATACTAGTCAAATTCTTAATAAAGTAAAATAGGTATAACAATTGTTATTATATATTGTTATATCATATTAGACATTATTTAAATAGTTAAAATATACTGGGTGATTCTTTTATCAAACAACACTCATTATTTCAAAAAGTGTAAATTTTTTTGAAGATATTTTTTTACATAGTTTCAAGTTGCTTATAAAACAACGTTTTTATTAAAAAATTATATTTTTAATTATTTTTTATCCTTATAATTTTTTAAGTTTTTTACTTTTTTGAATGACAACATAGGGTTTTAATTTTATATTCTAAAGTAGAATATTTTTCTTAGTATTGTGATACATGAAAATTTAATTTGGGGCTAGTAGTTTATGAGTTATAAGTAATTAAAGTTTAGACGAGCGGTGAAGTGGACAAACATTTTGCGGGGTAACCCCGAACCACTCCACTCCGCTCGTCTAAACTTTAAATACTTATAACTCATAAACTACTCAACCCAAATTCGATTTTCATGTATCAAAATACTAAGATAAATATTCTGCTTTGGAATATAAAATTAAAACCCTATGTTGTAATTCAAAAAAGTAAAAACCTTAAAAAATTATAAGGATAAAAAATATTTAAAAATATAATTTTTTAATAAAAACGTTGTTTTATAAGCAACTTGAAACTATGTAAAAAAATATTGAGTGTTGTTTGATAAAAGAATCACGCTGTATATTAGTTAAAAATATCAACACGCCAATGTAAAATATTTTATAAACTTTAATTGCATCATTGTTTCAACGGCTAAGTTATGAAAGGTTTGCAATTTAACCTACCAAAGTTGATAACCTAATTCAAAAGTCATAGGAACTAATAAGTATTAAATGAGTTCCGGTGATTAGTTTTCATTGTTTGAAGTTTGAAAAATTGTGGGATAAAAGTGAATTAATAAATATTTATAAATGTAGTTAATTGAAAGCACAGTCAATTATATAATGTAATATGTTTTATAATGTTATATTATTTATTTTTCGTTTTTATCCCACACAAAATAATTAGAACAATACTAAATTAAAAGTTATGTAAAAGAATTGAGAAACTATAAACTATGATAGGTAGTACATCAAATACACGTACTATATGATAATAATTTTAATTAAATATTAAATATTATAAGTATAAAAAAATTAAACAAAATAATTTTGGTAAATATGTTATATAATGAGAAAATTTGTTATAAATACTCGAGAGGATCAACAGGCTTTTCATCCATTTCGTACAACAGCCTTAATACATCAGTTATTTGAGCAATAACACCAGTTTTTTCTAAATAACTTGTAATTTCTTCAGTCATTCTATTAATTGGGTAGCAGTTTTGCTGTATTTGCGACTTAGGGAAAAAATTAAATAAATCAGTAATTGTGGTACCAAGTTAACAACTCAAAGTACTATTAGGGATATTTTAAAGTAGAAAATATTTATAATTATTATTTAATGTTTCGTCAAGTGTAGAATAGATGCAACATGTTAATTCCAAAAAGTATTAAGTCATAAAATATATAAAATAAATTATAACATATCAACCATTTTTTTGAAAAATATAGGCAATTCAATATAATAATATTAATTATAATTATTTATTTATTTTTATAAATATACTTTATATAATACCTTGTTTCATTAATTTTATTCTATATTTTTAAAGAATTCGTCGGTGGTAATTAGTGAATATTGATATTGGAGGTACCAATTTATTTTCATTAAAAAAAAAAAATATAATTTTTGACCAAAACTCAAGGTTTGGAAAATGTATTTGATTTTTTTTTAGAAATCGAAAGTAATACCTTTCCCCTCCCCCGCCCCACCGTCCAAGGTTTAATAGCTAAGATAAGAAAGTTTATTGTATAATTAGTTGTACGTACATGCAAATCATCAGGATTATCTCCAGCCATAATAAAAAAACAATATTTATTTTTGATCTAAAATAGTCTAGCTGGAGCGTTTCAAATATGTGTATACTTTTATCAAGAAGATTTACATAAAATGTATCATTGAATGTCAAATGTTTACACTTAACGATGTTAAACGTATATTTTATTATTTTACAGTAAGTATATTAAACGATTTCCATGGTTATTGATTTTAATGCAATCAAACCAGATAATAAAAGACATCTATTATATAATAAAACGCTAATAAAGCGTATAAGATCCGCGTCCATGACGACCAATAATAATACTTTATTTCCATAGCGTAATAAAGTTACCCGTTTTTTAGATTCTGAGCGGAGCGATGAATGTATTGGTTTTACAATGATGTATGTTTTTATATTTTAGATTCTGAGCGGAGCGATGAATGTATTGGTTTTACAATGATGTGTGTTTTTATATTTTTATATTTTTATATTTTTATATTTTTGTGTCTGTCATCACGTTTTAGGACAGTAAAAGTGCTTGGATTTTCTTCATCAATAGCTTTTCTGATAGGAAAGTGAATCTAGTTGGTACTTTGGGGGGTCAAAAGTATAAATTTTCCAGTAGTTTTCACAAGCGCCGGGAAAAACAACATAAAAATTAAGGAAAAACGGGAATTTTTACTCAAAATCGATTTTCCAAAAAATCGAATTTGGTTTTTGGTGTAACTTTAAAACAAATGACCGTAGATACATGAAATTTTCACTGGTTGTTTATAATTGCATTTTCAATACACGATAACATTTTCAAAATATTTTGATTTATTTTGAACTGTTTAGGGACATTTTCATTTTTCATTTTTTTTTAGTTTTTTTTCTAGAAATATCAATAAAATTTTATTTGTTGGTTGCGAAAGCTTGAAAATTTAATAGAAGGCTCCTAATATGTTGTTTCAAAGGCAGATGAAAAATATTAAAAATCCTTAGTCACAATTTTTTTTATAAGCATTTAAAGTTCAAAAATTGACAAAATATGGAAAAATCACGAAAATTAG